AAAAAACACGGGGGTGCTTAACTTTTTTCCCAGGTGTATATATATATATATATCAGTTACAGCAATAGGAAGAGAAAGGGATAAAGATTGACAGAGGTAATTAAAATAATGTTATTTATCTCGTATATAATTATCAAATCTAATAAGTACTAAACATCCAAAGCCCAATGGATATATTTTTTTATCTTCTTTTATAATATGGTATAACAATAATATGTTGCACTACTAGTGGCTACCATCCTACACAAACAGTCCTATTAAAAGAGGTGGTAAAAAGAACTTAACAGAAATATTTATGTTGTACCTATGTATCCTATATACCATGCTTGTGGTATTTATTTGGAGTATTATAGATAAGATGAACAGGAAACATGGTAGACACTTGTTATTTCTTATTTTATTAATGCATGCTGTGCATCTGTTTTTTTCTCTTTATCTCATCATAAAACAAACATTGTATTGTTTGTTTGTTTTGGAATTTCGCGCAAAGCTACACGAGGGCTATCTGCGCTAGCCGTCCCTAATTTAGCAATGTAAGACTAGAGGGAAGGCAGCTAGTCATCACCACCCACCGCCAACTCTGGGGCTACTCTTTTACCAATGAATAGTGGGATTGACCGGCACATTATAACGCCCCCACGGCTGAAAGGGCGAGCATGTTTGGTGGTATGCGGATTCGAACCCGCGACCCTCAGATTGTGAGTCGAGCGCCTTATCCACCTGGCCATGCCGGGCACAACAAACATTGTAAGAAAAAAACAAATGTATGACAAGGTGAAATGTTGGTATCTTTTCAGATATTGAAATTTGTAAATTGCGGGTTTAATCCAAATGACAGTTGCACATATTTTTAATGTGTAATTTTATTTAGGGAAATGAAGCTTTGATCAAGCTTCTTTAGTTGCCTTTTTTAGAACAGACTCTTGTGGCTTTTTTCACATTTGATTCAGTTTTTTAGCAATTTTGTTATTTCTAGTGAGGATAAACTGAAATATTTTGTTTTCAAAACATATTATTCACCTCTTAACAGAAACATTACCTAGAGCTATTGCTAAAATGTTTTTTGGCTGTGCCAAGCTGTTGAAAGAGCTCTCCCTCCTGTATGTAATAACATTTACTGTTCTAGTCTATAATGCAAACGACATTAGACTATACCCTTCCAACAATAGGAAGGTGACACAACCTTCTTGCACAGTATTCCCATTAAGCATTTTGTATAAACCAAAAGCTTATTCTTTTTCATGGCAATCCACTGTTTAGAAGACTTCTTTTTTTCCTTACGAACTTTTGCACTTTACCTATTTTTTTAAAAAATCGGTTAACAACTCGTACAGATTATGTATCTTAACTTCATTTTTGTGATCGCAATGAAATAAGGATACAAAAAGAAAGAAAAACAAATTCAGACATTCCCCGAAAAGTCTTGTACTAGTTCATGGGGAATGGAGTTACTCTGATGGTAAGTGATATCACTGCCATTGGGGATCAAATGATTGGTTCTTTCTTACATTCTTCATCTCAGGCCTGGTTTTCACGGCCTCATGCTTCTGTAGTTTCTGCTGAGCTTGCCACATCATTGATTTTAACCAGTTCTCCCCAGTGTTTCTGGTTCTATACCAGAAGAGGATCAAGTATCCCAATGTTCGTCCTTTGTACATCTCAGGTCTGTGACATTCTTTCTTTTACCCCAGTCATTTGTGCTGCATGAACCTCAGTTGTCGGACTTTCCTCTTTCTCTACCTTTTTGATTTATATTTGCATTTATGCCAATTCTTTTCTGTCTTAGCTTTGTGTCAATTTTTAGTTTCCATGTCCTCCCCATCATCGAGATGGCTTTTTATGGCTTATGGTTGGAATCCTTTCTCTGAGCTCCAGTCACTTTAATCTGTTCTTCCAACTTGGGGATCTTTTATTTTGTCCTATCTCGTTCTCAATCTGCTTGTTTTTGTCTTTTACTTGCTCATCTTACTCATTATTTCATCTTTATACCTTGTTTATGAGGCTCGTTAGGCGATCCTGAAAACTTCACCGGAGAAGATAGAACCTATATGTTCTCCATGCTGGCCTACATTTCTTTTTCAGCAGTTGCCCATTTAATTTTGTTTCTGGGCTTTGCTTGGTTGGGATGTTTTTCTCTCTGGAGCATGACTCCTCAGTCTTCTCTCAGGGAACTCTCATTACTTTGAGAAGAGGTTATGGAGGGAGTTCCTCATATTTTGGAAACTGAAGCTGAAGCAGCTTGTCAGCAATCACCTCTACTCATTCTGGTTTCACATTTATTTCAGTCCGAGGAGACCCAGCAGGTTTCTCATCTAAGGAAGCCTTGTTGGGTCACCCTCTATCCTGCTACTTCTCTTGTGGCCTCTTCTAAGCATACCCACTCCCGGTAGGCCAACCTGAGGGAACTTGGCTCTTACACTTTGTGCACCTATGAACTTCCTCTGCAGAAGACTTCTGCGTCATCTAGGTACTTTATAAGAGCTTTCTCTATCGTTTCATTCTCAACCTTCTCCTGTTCTTTCCACCCCTCTCAGATTCCTTGCATACTTGAACCTGGAGGATACTGTGTCTTCCCTCTAAGCGATTAGCGCTGTGGAAAATGTTGTAGAGCCCACTCTGGTGTTTTTGTGTCCATCGTTTTGTAACCTAAAGAAGACGGAGGATTGGCAACTCATCACAGTTATATTGATGTTGAACCAACTTCTTGTCTTCCTTTGGCTTAAAATTGAAGGCTTCTCGATCTGAGATAGGTGATCCTTCCTAGGGTGTGGATGATCTAGCTGAGTGTTTTGGATGCTTTTTTTCCACGTTCTGATTCATCCAGCTGCTTATTGCTCCATTCATCTTGTCTACTACTTTTGGATTTTTCAGTTCCCTGTTCCCCCCAATGATGTCTGTACCACAGTCTATGATGATGATGCCTCCTCCCAAAAATCACTTTGTAAGAGGGGACAAGAAACTTGCTTTGAATATGGGCTATTGGATTATTTAAAGTGAACTGCCTGGTTAATACAGGAACTTGTAGAATATTGGTTAATCTCACGGTGTATTAGGCACTCTGAATGAGGTTACCACTCTGAACAGCTAATCCTATGCCAACAGGTCAGTCAGTTTGACCAACCTATTAAACCCACGAAGCTAAACATTCTAGAAGTAAATTTACTAAGTATATCTTCACGAACTTTATAGTTATACAAAAAAATAAGGATTTTTAATAAAGTATTTATACTAAAGGATTCTCTGTGAATTTTCAAAGCTTTTACTGAGTCAACGTGAGTATAAAGTAATTTTCATGCTATAAATAAAAACACTTCTGATGCTTGACATGATCTGGTTAGGGCACTCGACTCGCAATCTGAGGATCGTGAGTTTGAATCCCCTTCACTGAACATGCTTGCTCTTTTAGACATGTGTTATAATGGGATGGTCAATCCCACTATTTGTTGGTAAAAGAGGAACCCAAGAGTTTGTGGCGGATGGTGTTAACTAACTGTCTTCCCTGTAGTCTATCTCTGCTAAATTAAGGACAGTTAGCTTAGGACTGCTTTCAGCACTTGATATGATTTGTATGAGTTTTGCATCATGTCATTCAGCCTGTGTAGCATGACTGTTACTTTTGAGAGGCTAATGGAGCTTTCATTGAAGGGACTGCACTAATAAAAATATCTCGTTTATACCAACAATGTCTTGTTGTTTGGTTACACTTTTGAGTTTGCTTCTTTAAACCTGAGAATGATACTTCAGCAGATAAGAAAAACACGTTTGAAGTTGAAACCAGGAATGTATGCATGTGGGACTTCTTGGTCATATTGTGGGTAGAGATAGAGTCTTTACTGGTTTTCTTGATTTCTTATTGTATTACCTGTGTTTTGTGTCTAACTTCTCCAAGATTGCTACACCATTATCTGCTATCACTAAAGCTGATGCACGTTTTAGATGGACTGTGAGTTGGTGTTGGATGCTGATTCCAGCGATAGTGGAATCACATATAATTCTTACTTATTGCTGGTGGTCACAAATACTGCATGATGAAGAAAAAACTGCTTGCAGTTGTGGTAGTTGTCAAGTACTACCAATACTATCTGAATTGTATATAATCAAATACATTATGTATTATTTGTACATTATCGTGGATTTTTCGTCCTGCTACAGCACATGATTGGGAAGCACCTATACGTCCTGATATAACTTTAGAAAGCCTATTAGTTAAAACCCTTCTTAGAACTTTATAATTATCATTTAGGATAGTGACAGGTCTCCAATTTGTATTGTTTGTTTGCTTGTTTTGTTAATTCTGTAGAAAGCTACTCGAGGACTATTTGCTCTAGCCATCCATAATATTGAAATGATAGACTAGAAGGAAGGCAACTGATTATCACTATCCACCACTAGCTCTTGGGCCACTTCTTGCTAACAAATAGTGGTTTGACCATCATATTATAATGTCCACTCAGCTGAAAGAACTAGTATGTTTGGTGAGAAGATATCGGACCTGTAACACTTAGATTGCAAGTCGAGTGCTCTAATCAATAGTAAGTGCTTCAAATGTAACTTGAAAAGACATACTGCTAGAAATTGCAGACAAAGGTGTATATGAAATAAAAGCTCATCTAAAAGGATATATAAAAAAGAGGGAACTGTTATAGATGTAAGAAATTTTGCTATTATAGCATAAACAGTAAGAAATCAATTGATGTTAAGCCAAGACACCAAGAAAACAGGCTAGGATTTACGAAGTAAAGTTCAGCTGAGAATACTTCATCTATACCAATGAGAAAAGAAGCTAATTATTTGAAGAAAATAGACTGCAGATCTCTGAGCTTATTTTGATGGACTCTATTTGTTAATGAAAGATGAAATATTGCTTCCAGAGACGAAAAAAAGAGGGATTGACGTGAATTTAGCGCATATTCAGGGGACATGAAGTTCCAACAAAATGGAAGTTGGAAATTACCTATATTGTAGGAAGCTTCTCTGTATGTCAATATCTCCATGTAATTGACATTGAGAAAGAGTAATACTTGGAGCTGATTTCACGCAGCGACTAGCTTCAGACAGCTTCATAGTCTATAACCAGTAAATCTCTGTGCATTAGATGGTAATTACTAAACCAGAGGTTGAACTGCCATGGAAACAGGGACATTGGTCATTGCACCACCAAGAAGTGAAATACTCATTGGTTTGTAGGGGAACCAAATACTCGGTATGTCTTGGGGAATTGATGGATGGAAGAGCTTTTTCATCTTAACGTTTTGTGTTTATATTGTAAACATCCTAGATAAAAATAACCAGTTTGATGTAATCAAATCCATTAAATCAACTTGTGATAAAACAAAAGGTAGTTATGATGGTATGACTGAACAGTTCTTGTCACAAGAGAAGGCAAAACCCAAAGCTAAGTAGGTGCTCAGAGGATAAGCAATCCAAGTCAAAGGTTATCTAGTGTTGTCACCTTTGGAAGCTCATTGGTGAAAGAATGGCCAACTGAGTAACCACAGAGAAAATCTTGTCCACAGAACTTCAACTTGTGGAGGATCCTAAAGTTCTTGTTGAAACTACTTCCAGAAGATCATCAAGGATTGAGTCATCAGTGGATTCATTCGACCACCTGATCAAAACAAACTACCAGTGACAACAAGGGACAAAACGCCATTTTATCCACATACAACGAGCCTTGTAAGAGAAAATCATATAAAAGATGAATGGCCAATTTAGTTTTGCGTTTATTTATTAATTTTTTTTCTGGATGAGGAATTTTCAGGGGACTTTACAATCCACAAAGTGGCAGTATTATAAGCTATATTTTTGATATTGTAATTTAGATGTTAGTTAGAGAGAGCTGCAAGTCATAATAATGACGTCGAATTAGACCTAGAAAGTTCTAAAGGTTTTCTTGTAACTTATAGGGATATGGATTATAAATATGAAGTTCTATGAAGCAAAGAGGAAAAAGAAGTTAATTCAGAATTTAAACAGTTGTTTTCTAGCTGGTAGAGGAAATCAGTCAGTGTGTTTGCATTGTTGGATCTTTTTAGCTATAGCGCATATTGAGTTACTTTGTACAAGACAGTTTATTTTTCACATTAATGTAGTGCAATTAGTTAATTTAGACTTACAAGTTAAAACGGTGTACAACTGAAGATAAGCTTGTAGAAACGTCATAGAATAAATAAACAAATTCGTTATAGTTACACTGACTGAATTTTAAATTATTTTTACCAGATAATTTATAAGAACCCGCCAACAAAAGAACAACTTTACAACAGTATTGACTTTAACAAAATGAAGAACAACGCCTTCAATAAATAACAAACAATACGAATTATTGTTTGTTGTTAAGCACAAAGCTACACAATAGGCTATCTGTGCTGTACCAACAACGAGTATCGAAACCTGGTTTTTAGCTGTGTGAGCCCGTAGGTTTACAACTGAGTCATTGGGGGGCACAGGTCATACTAAAAGAATGATTAGTTGCAATACAAATAACTGTCAACAGATGAAACCATGACAACTGTTGGATATTTGAGGATGGTAGTTAAACCTATAACAATCAATGATGAGCTGTTAGATATTGCTTATATGTCATTTTCCGTTATCAAAATGAGTCTAACATTCTTGTTTCCAATAAAAACACATAGTATTCAGTCAGGTGAGTTGCCAGATAGTGCTTTTGTGCCATCTTCCTCCACAAAAGTTTGTGAAACATTCATTGTTCCAGTAAAACATTTAGAAAACGGACATATGAGTTAGTGAACAGTGTTTATGTGCCATCTTTCTTCATAAGAATGTGTGTAACAACAATATTCCAAGTAAAAACCTGCAGTAAACATATATCTTTTTTCAAAAAAATGAAACTAACACCGATCTTCACACTAAAATTTTATGAGAAACAGAGATCTTCGTTGTGCTATCTACCCTTATAAAAATGTGTTTAACAACCAACTTTCCTCTACAAAATTCTGGTAAAGTGATTTTAGTCGCTAGATAATGTATGTGCAGTTTTTCCGCATAAAATTATATCTAATTGTCAAGAAAAAAAAAACATTTAAAACGTATTCTGAATAGAAAGAAGGTATTAGCGATTTGTTATACGTATCTTCCCTATAACAGCATCTAGAAAATATTAATTTGAGTACTAAACCCTATGTTTTCCATGTTCAAAATACACTTTTCAAAAGTTCAAACTCCAAGATTTTCTATACTCCCATCTATTGACAATTATTTGTATTGCAACCGATGATACCAATAGTCCAGTCATTCCAATCAACCTTTTAGTATGATCCAAAAACACTTCATTGTGCTACATATAGTTTCGTTGTTAAACATCAAAAGCAGGTAAAACAATGGAAACAGTACATTTAATAGTAATATTCGCTTAACGACTATAACGTAGTAGACTAATTAAAATAAATGTGTAACATATGTCTAGTAGAATGAAGGGTGAAATTTATCAATAAATTCGTAATAGAGCTATTTTATAAAAGGTATGTAAAAAAATAGAAGATTATCATAAACATTAGGCCAAACATTTCTGAATGGCAAAGAGTATTTAGCATTTGTATAATATTTCCGTCACCTGATACTATTAAATATCTTAACATTTAATGGTGAAAATATTGACAAACTTTGAAAATAAAATTGAGTGTATGTGAAGTATTGCAACATTATTTATCAAATAAATGTTGCAGTAATCATTATATTCACTAGAGGGCAGCGCGATGTGTAAATAAATGTACTGTGATGGGCATTCGTAGAAAAGTCGGCTTTGTATCTTAGTTGAATACTTGTATGGAAATTGAAGATTTTCTATGGCGTAAATCATGTAAATTGTCAACAAACTACAAACTTAGTGAAATTTGAAAATGTCTCACCAATGAGGCGAAGACAAATGTGTACGTACCTTAGGCTTTGCTATTTAATTAAACGTATTTTTATTTAAAGTTTTTAAACAAGTGTTTACCTTCTCTTTATTTATAAGGATTTACTTGAGTAGTTGGAAATGATTATTACTCGATTGTTTACGAATATCAGGCGCCGCCGCTCAACTCTATTTAATTTGATTTTTATAGCATTTATTACACTTGGTGTTGTACTTTGGTATAAGCACATGTATAAACTGAGGTCTACCCCAGGCTCGGAGTCAAATTCAAAACAAGATGCGAATGCCTTCTTAACTAAGCAGGAAATACCGTTAGATTTTATTACTATTGAAAAGAATGAGCAAAGTCAAAAAGTTGTAAGAATAAACCCTTTTCAGCCAGAGAGTTTGCAGAATCCACAATCAGCTGTTAATATTAACGGCCTTAATATGCAGATACAGGAACCTATTCTAAAGGAGAAAAATTATAATGATTATAGTGCTAATCTCAAAGGAGTATTACCTCCTCCATTACCTGCAGAACTTATGAGGCAGAGTGACAAAAATGGTAAAAAGAATGATATTGAAAGAATAGATGAAGAGAGGGTTTCTATGAATGTTAAGCCAAAAGTAAAAGTTGAAAAAGTGTATGATGATGGAATTATGAAAGTGATACCTGGACTTGGAGAACAAGGAAGACCAGTATTTCTAAATGAGAGTGAACAAACTTTAGCTGATGACCTCTTTCGTTCAGCAGCTTTTAATATTTACTTGAGTGATAGAATTTCCCTTAATCGAAGCCTACCTGATGCTAGACATCCAATGTAAGTGTATAATACTCTCTTCATGATAATTTTATTTGAATAATGTAATGACATCTCATGGTAAGGTTAGCTGTAATGTGTAAGTTAGTTTAAAAAAAAATGTTTCATTTGAAAGAAAAAAACATCATTTAAGCTTTTAACCTTCAAGAAAAACAACAACTATATATTAACTGTATCACTAATAGTATTGATGAACACATAAACCTTTGAAATTGAAGTTGGGATTTGTGACTTGGATGTAGGAGGTTTTTAAATGATTTGTACTAATCATAAATACCGGTTCTCATAATAATTGTTTACAAGTTGCTTTAAATTGTAGACTATTTGAGATGGACATTTTTCACCTAAAGAAATAATGAAATTGCTGTTATTAACATATTGACTGTACAAACATAAATTTTCATATGTTCTTAACAAATAAGAAAAGTGCACTATTTAAAATTAGAAAATATCTGCATTTTGCACTTAAAGTATATATGATAGCTTTATAAGTGTGTGTATATAAAGCTATTATTATAATTGAATACACATTTCTGTGGAAACATCAAATGTTATTTATAAATTATTGCATTTTAATTAAACTGTAGATGGATGTATAATGGTAAAAAATGTAGAAATTTAGCATTGTTTCTTAAAGATTTTGTCACTGTGTGTATATATATATATATGTATGTATGTATGTGTGTGTGTGTGTATATATACATATGCACTGAAATACGATACAGTAATGTGCTTAGCCACACAGACCTGTTGTAAATGTGTGTATAGATTATTATATTATCTATTTAGAGTCAATTAAAATTACATGTAGGTGTAAGAATATTCAATATGATGAAGACCTTCCAACAGCAAGTGTTGTGATTATATTTACTAATGAAGCTTGGTCACCACTCCTAAGGACAATTTATAGTGTTTTAAACAGAAGTCCAGTACACCTTCTTCATGAAATAATTTTAGTGGACGATTTCAGTGATCAAGGTATGTTATTAGAGACTTGATAATTTTATTAACTACTAAGTAAAGTGTATTCTTCATTTTGGTTACTAACTACATGTGAGCAAAATTCCATCGACGTACTAGTATTATTAAATATTATTTTAAATAACCTGCATGTAATTAAAAAATGTCAAATGTTGTGTAAAGATCACCTACTTGTAATAAAAAGTATGTTGTGCCATTGAAACTGCAAAACAATAATGAAAAACTATTTACAATTTGATGTGGTTCAACAGCTCATCAATTCTTTGTCCTGAAATGATTTATATAATAAACACATAACATCATAAAATTATATTAATTCATCAAGGTTTATTTGATTTATACAATGAATATATAGTTGTTTAGAGTCAATTTAAAATTTGCTTAAAAATACATTGTTTTGATTTAAAAGAAAGAACATCAAATAAGCTGATATAGCAAATGATTTTTCCAAGACCAGTGAGAAACTAGTGTTATATGTACATATTTTACTGCATTGTAACATATGTTTATGTGTGAACAACTAGATGATGGAAATTATGAAGAACCTGGACTGGAATTGTGTTCTAGCTTTTGTATTGTACTGTTTGTAAATGTTGAACTAAGTCATGTAATAATGTATTTTTTACATAACATAATGGATTGATAAAGTCTGATCATTTTTAGATGGAGTTGTATTTAGCTCTGCCATAATTCATTAAATATTATAAGTTTGACTCAACATTGTTTACAGAATTGCAATTTCTCTTGATCCTTGATCTTGCTTATTAATAATTATAGATTATAATAATTAATATAAATAAGTAAATGTAAACTAAAATATTTCATTAGATCATTTGAAATGGAAGCTGGATGACTACATAAAAAGAAACTTTCCAGCAAAAAAGATAAAACTGCTGCGCTTGAATAAACGAGCTGGCTTAATCCGAGCTCGATTGGCTGGAGCCAAAATTGCTACTGGTGATGTCTTGGTATTCTTGGATTCACATTGTGAAACAACTGTTATGTGGTATGTAACAAGCTTAGAAGTACATTAGTAATTATAGAAAACATTCAGTATTTAGAGATACTAAAGATGAAGAGTCAGAGTGAGTGAGTGATTGTGTTTTTAATTTTAAAAAAGAAAGAACAAAGGTAATTGAAACTGTGACAAATCAGTTTAACTAGTAATGCTACTCCTAACTTAAGTATGTATAACTAAATAAACAGACACAAACAATATATAACAGTCAAATTTTTCCAGTGAAAGATAATTAGCTAATTGTATGGACACTGGCATAAAATCTTAAATAACTACCTTTTTTATGTTACACAATAAGAGATATTTTGAGTTGAGACAGATCTACAGTCTCAAGTAGGCTCTACATGTTTTGACTTTTCAACACTTAATTTTCAGGAAGATGATGCTTTGAATCATCAAAACATTTAGTCATATTAAAACTATATCAGCCTCAAAAAAAATAAAAAATTTGTAAACTGAAAAAGGCTTGTATTTATTTTATTTACACTTAACTAATGATTATAACATTACATACAAAAGAATACTCCAAATTAAACTCAACACTGTAGGATAGGCTCTCAAAAACAGATTTGTTGCTCACCTAGTCCACACTGTATGAACTGTAAATACCAACCATACTACAGTATCAATGTATATATATTGCACATTTATAAATTCAGGTGGCTGTGTTATTAGCATTTATAACATGCTACATGGATGCAACAATAGCTTTGGACCACTACTTTACATTATAATCATAAGGTTAAGTCATACATATCATAATACAGCTTGTTTGCTGGCCTCAGAGAGACAAAATAATTGGGCAAGTGTGTAAATCATCAATTGCTTAAATGTAGCTTAACAGATACTGCAGATGAAACATGCTATGAAAAATGTTTTGTATCCAAAATCAAAATTTGGTGGATAATGTCAATAGCGATAGCCCTTTCTACTATGTATGGAATTATATTCTAGTTTTAAGCACACTGAAAATGATTGTGATTTTTAGTTCATGAATATTTAATCAATAAAGTTGATTAATACTGGTTTATAAATATCAGAAACTTTTTTTTTGATAGTGAAGAATGTATTACTTCCATTGTACTCTAAGAAGATTCTGTGTACAAAAGTAAGTTTGATAAAACAGGAAACTTGGACTAGTAGAGAGATTCAATGCTGACAGTATTACCTGATTACGATGAAAGAAGATAAACATGTATGGTTTGAGGCAATGTAAAATTGAACAGTGCTCTTAGTCCATGTATGAAGTTTGTGAAATGTCAATTCACAAAAAATTATGTAAAAGAAATATTTTACTTTTTGTAAGAACAACAGTGAAAAAAAATCTTTATGTTTTCAAGAGAAATCTTTATTTTTCATGAAGTAAAGTATAATGGTACTGTTAATACTTAAGAATATAAACAACAAAAAAATAATTGACATTTAAACCTAGTTTAAGTTTGTATGCAGTACACTATAAATATTGACTTAGACAACAGGATAATTATCTGTTCATAGCTGCCTGTTGAATTAAATTTGTGAGTTTAAGTTAAATGTGTCTGTTATCAAGATATGATGGTTAAAGAAAATTCAACACAGTATATGTTGTAGAGTTCTTTACATCACAAGGTGTAGAAATAGTTGTAAATATACTTGGATAACTGGGAAGAATAGATTTGGATAGGTCTAATTTATTTATGTTGTGCAAAAGTCATGTTGTTAGGGTAGAGAATGATTTAATGTTACACAGATATAACCAGGGGTTTTCCTAGTGTGCATTTAATCACAAATTGTGCACTTGTTAAAATATTTGTGCAGTTTAATATTCACCTATATAAGTAAGTTGAAGTGGATAAATATTAAAAAACATTTAAGATTATAAAATTCCATTCCAGAGTTGATAAATAAGTGTATTTACTAGAATATTCTTCATTTTTTAGATCATTTGTTATTAGGCCTGTATATATGAGGTGCAATAAGGCATCATGTATTAAAAAATAATGAAGTTAAAATATAATTGTGCACTTGCATATAATATCTTGTAAAAGCAACAAATATTTTAAAGATTTTTTTATAGGAGTAGTTACAAAAATTCAAGTTTGAAGAACTGCGTGAGAAGCTTAACCATCCATGTAGTGAATTCATGAAGGAAGTAAATAGAGAGAGATGAGATAAAAAAAAGTCACAAGTTTTCATCCATGAATTCTACATTCTTTTGCATTGCTGTCAGAGGAAACATATCTGTGTGTACAATAGGGAAATGTGTTTCCTGTGAAATATGCATTAAGAAGTGACAGAAAAAGTAGACAAGGTATCAACTAAAACCAAACTAGTTACACAACTATATAAAGTTTGTCCTTTTTTGTTTTAGCTCCTGACAATTCTGGGCCATGTATAGTGATAAGAAATATGGGTTTGGCTGTAATAGTTATTAATGTTTCACAGTTAGTTGGTTGTGTTGACATTATTAGCTGGTTAGGTTTAGGAGCCAGTACCTCACTTGACAACACACACCTTAGAAAGTCATGCTAGTGTTACTTGTTCTATGACAGCTTGTGTGTGTGTGTGTGTGTGTGTGGAGTTGAGGGGCATATTTAATCAATGTGATGATGGTACCATAATGATTGTTTTTTCCACAGTTTTATTAAAAAGAGGGAAATATATTTAATGTCAGTACATGCTAAAAGAAAGAAAAAAAGATAAGCTGCAATTGACAGAGTTGATGAAAGGTTGAAATCACATCCAGGAAAGTGCTAATTACTCATTACTTAAAAGAGCTAACAATGTAGTTTCCAGCTACAGTATGTGGATCAGTAGGGATGGGGGCACAAGAGATGTAAAACATCTTGTAAGGCAACTAGCACTGGGCATATGGAGATTGTAGCACAGTTACACTGAGCTCCTGTCTTTCAAGAACTAACTCTCTTCTTTGGGAGTTGTTTCCACATACCCATTTCATGATTTCATTTCTAAAGTGGATTCTACGTCAAACCATAACAGTGTTTTTCAGCACACTATCTCCATTAGCCAACCTCCTTTCTCCCCTTAGTGAAACACTCCAAATAAATCACAACCAGCCTTGTCAAAAAGTGTGGTTGCTTCTACTCCAAAATGTAATCATACTGATATGACTACTTCATTACAGTTGTTGGGCAATAATAATGATGATGGCCACAGATATGCCCATATTCTAGCTCACTTATAACTGATCCTAAGTTGTGAGTGTGCTAGAGATTCAGAAAGGCATAAAATTTAAATTTTCCTATAAACCTTCATGTATAATTGTTTTGTTTGATTCTTCCAATAGTTACATGTAGTATGTTTGTTTTTATCTCTCTCTCTCTCAATATATATATATATGTAGATTATAAATTGTTAAATTATTAAAACTACAGAGCCTTAACATTTTGTTAAAGGTAGATGGATAATACATTTATTATAAAATTTTTTGGTGTATCAAAGTGGAAAAGAAAACACATAACATTTAATCTGTGTATAAATGTTACCTATATCTAGTTTATGATAATCACTTTGAGCATTTGTGTAAAGCAACATTACACCACGTTCAGTCACTTCCACACAGTTTTACATACCTCACTCTGGCTGTTTTATAGTTTACAGTGATTGAAATGATACATTTTCATTCAGTTTATTCAAAAGTACAAAAACGTTTTGCATCATTTTAATTTGTACATGTAAATATAGAAAGACAAGCACCTTCAGTCATGCATAGTAATATGGTTTTTAACAAATAGACTGCATAGTAATCTAAAATACACTTTTCATATAAATTGTATATACATATAGATATAAGTATTACATTTTTACTTTGTTTTTACCAGAAATCTTAGTTTATTAACATTTTTGTACATTGTAAAAGAGTAATGAAAAGCAGTGAGTTTTCAGATCAACTCAGTATTTTATGTTGAGCAGTTTGTTTTAGTAACAGTTAACTTAAGGCCATATGATTAAGCTTATGAGAAAACATTATAAGAAACATCGAGACAGAATGTTTCTAAATTAATATAAGCATTATAAATTTTCAATAAAAATATATTATCTTTTATTATTTGTAAGAAATTAAGCTACTTATAAGAATGAATTGATACATTTTCTCCTTATCTTATTTTTGATCAGGCTTGAACCATTGCTTCAGAGGATAAAAGAAAACAGAAAAGTGGTACTTTGTCCCATAATTGATGTGATTGATGACAAAACTTTAGAATATTCTAGCATTAGTGGAGACTATTTCCAGATTGGTGGCTTCACATGGAGTGGTCATTTTACCTGGATAGAAATCCCTGAGTGGGAAAAAGAACGTAAGAAAAATGCTGTGGCTGCTACAAGGTAAAATGTTTAATGTGTATTGTATGTTATACATATATAGATTATAGAATAAAGTGTTTATTACATTTACAACAGTTGTCAGACAAGGAATTATCTGTTATTATCTTCTTGTTGGTTTGAGCCAAATTTCACCATTTTTATTGAAAAATATTTCAAAGATTATAATGCAAGTGAATTTTTTCAATGAAATTTGGTTTGTTGTTCAATAGTGTTTTCCTAAAATGTAGAATATTTTTATAATCAAAAGAAACATTTTGCTGGTTTATATATGGAAATTGTTCTTCTGTGATAATGAAATGTGTATGTTTCAGATAGCTTTGAGATTCAGAGTCTAATTTAAATTTATTCAAAATTTAAATGTAATGTAAGTAAGGACTTGATAATTACCTTGAAACTTGTTTGTTTAGTAGGAAACAATGCACATTAGAGAGTTTTCATTTATTACAGATTATTTACAAGAGCATGTCCATTATCTTTGGAGTAGTTTAACCTTTTTAGTGTAAAAATCTTGGCATGAATATTAACTATTTGTAATTTAATTTTTAAGAAAATGTAGGGAAAAACTTTGAAATCATTTAATTAGCTTTTTGCAAGATGGTTTTCAAGGTGTTAAGAAAAGCATTTTAAACCATCATGCTTACAGAATTGAAATTGAGCAGCATTAGTTCGTGATCAAACGTAAATGATTTAATATTTTGCAGAAGTCCAACAATGGCAGGTGGCCTCTTTGCTATTGAACGTGACTATTTTTGGGAAATTGGAAGCTATGATGAAGAAATGGATATCTGGGGTGGGGAAAATTTAGAAATGTCATTCAGAGTAAGTTGTATAAAATTATAATTTAGTGGTAGAAACTGCATTTAAAATATTTTTAATTTAACCAAAAATAATTTGCAGGATAATTTCTATTTTAGCATTTATATGTTCTTTTAAATAGTACAGAGGTTGACTGCATTATACTAAAATAATTTTGGAGCCTCACCATGTTGTTACAATCTATTTTGCCACTTTTAATCATGCTCTATTTGATGGCCGTGCATCCTGACATTAGTCCTGCAGTGTAGTTGCATTGCAAAAGACTGTAAATAGGCTATTATGTCCAAATCACACCTGCCCTTCCTGTAACTTTCTATAATACATCTGGTGTACAAGGATAGTGGCTTGTGAGTACCAACTTCAACAGCCTGATCATTCTGTAATCCATAGGTGTTGTATATGGTGACTTGATCTATATGTCTTTGTATGAAATAGCATGAATATCCCTTTCATTCTTTAGCTGCTTGAGGTATATGATGTTTGAATGGAAGAAGTTTGTGTACATGTGACTTGTGTTGCTTTTCCAGATTACATCCTTCTTGATTATGTTGCATATTGTTGCCTGAGGCATGTGGACAGCTCTTTCCACTGATTTTTGTGTCCATGGACTCTACCATTCACAGAAAGTTGCACTTTGCTTGCCACAGCTAGGGTACAACTTGTTGCAGGTCTTACTAATGGTCCCGGTGTTGCACATTGATAAATATTCCTTTGTTTTTCAGTATCATTAAGTATAAAGTACATCTTGGAAATTCTAAATCCCTGACCTGAACACATCTTTATTATCTGAGTGTATGAATGTTTTGTGTCAGAAAGTGCTGCTACATACCCTTCCCAATAGGGATAAATACATGCTGTTCTGCCATGACTTTATATCATTTGTAGTCATTACTTTGACTCAATGGTTCATTATTCAAAATCATTCTAATATAACATACTAAACTCTCTGTAGTTATGCATTTTGTTTATGGCTAACACCTGTTCTTTTCATTTGAATACCAAAGCTAACTTTTTACATGGAAAGATGATTGAAAGTAATCAGCTAATGCTAATAACAAGAGAAGTAAACTTTAACAGTTGGTTTGAAAGAGTAACTGTTCTTATTATGAGTAATTGTTCTTGTCATAAATTACTGATATGAGTGTTTTAGTCAAAACATAAAAATAATGTTCATTCATAATATACACAATATCTTTTTTACATGTATTTGTAAAAAAATGCATAAAAATGTTCACAAATTCATTGTTTTGGGGGCATAAAGGTATTTTCTACCTAAAATATATTGAATAGTTTTATGATTCATGTTAATTATTTTGCTATCAGTTTATGTATAAAACATTTTCAGTTTTTTGAAGAGTATTAATTAACTCAATATTAATTTAAAAAATCTAACTTGGTGAGTAATTTGATTTTGTAATTCATATATTGTTTTAGCTATATCTGAAGAGATTACTTTCTAGGAAAATTGAAAACATCATGTTATAGTGCATCATGAAAAGCCTTATCAGTATCATTAAATTCTGTCCAATATTTTATTGGTCATGTCAGTAAAATATTTATTTCTTTATATAAATATTTTTTAGTTTAATTATAGTTATTTGTAACTTTAAATTTTCTTGTGTATAGGCATGGATGTGTGGTGGCTCTTTAGAAATTATTCCTTGTTCTCATGTGGGTCATATTTTCCGAAGCTTTCATCCCTACTCCTTCCCTGGGAATAAAGACACCCATGGAATCAACACTGTGAGAACAGTAGAAGTGTGGATGGATAAATACAAGAAATATTTTTACATGTATAGGGAAGATCTAAAGGTAATATTTAAAAGTTTGTAGTCTCATAGTATGAGTTAAAATTTTTGGTATCTCTTATGAGCTGATTCAATGAAATGTAAATTTGTGTAGTGAGAGAAAAGGAAATTATTTCAAAAAAATGTTGTGTTTGTCTTAAGAGGAAACTTTCAACCTTAGGCCAATGTAAGTTACAATACTTAAATGAAAGGAATAAGAATTATAACACACTAATGAGCTTGTTACAATTAGGCCTGGCATGGCCAGGTGGTTGGAGTGCTCGACTTGCAATCTGTGGGTCACGGGTTTAAATCCACGTCCCACCAAACATGTTGATGACTAGCTGCCTTCCCTCTTGTCTTTCACTGCTAAATTAAAGACAGCTAGCACTGGTAGCCCTCAGATTTCCCCCTGCATCAAAATATTTCAGAGCATAGGATTATTTTATCCCAGTCCCTCTGACAAGGACTTTTAATCTTGTAAGTCCATCAGACTCACTTTAACCATAACATATCTTTAACTATAGAAAGTTTTATTTTCTTTAAATCAATCAGTCTTTTAGAAAACTATTCAAATAGAATCGTGCTCACTCAGTCTGCATCTCTCTGCTCCAGTCCTTGTAAACTGCCCTCTCTGACTAACATCATCGCCATGTGGACAAACAATTGCATGTGTTGCACTCCGACTACACAACGACAGTCTCTACATGACACTCCCAGCGTGCCTGGGTTAGCATCTTCCTCATCTCCACGTGTCTCTCAACCATCTACACTCTGTGTTAAAATTAAATTAAGCCCAGTGGCTCTACCAAAATTTGTTTGTCATTAACATTTTCACTGTGCAGGGTGAAGAGAAACAAAAGTTTCTGACCACTCTGGGTTGTCTTTCACCTCCCCAAAACTATTTTTTTGAGGCTTGAAAGATTTTTAAACCTAAATTCCTGCCACAAATTGTTTTTTTTTTTTTGCATATCACAATTATTAAATACACTGAAAAGGATTTTGCTGCTAATGAGTACTTTTTGGCTCTAAAAATATATTTGTTTATAAAACAGAAATTCACACAGCATTCTCAATTAATTAAAGGAAAATGTGTTTAAATTTTTATTGCTACATAAAATAATTATAATATTTTGTTTTAATTATTTTGATATTCAAAGTTAAAAGATACTGGTAATTATCAATATCTGTTTGCATTTCCAAAACATACCATTTACTTTATGTGCCTTTTTTTTTTAGTGTGTTATATTATAGTTATAAACTTAGTCTCAAGCAAACAGTAAATAGATAAAATATTTTAGTAAATAAATCCAAGTATTATTTCCAGTTTTTAAGATTTGGGGTCACATAAGAAAAGATAGTATTATTTAGTGTGTATGAAAAAAAGTGCTTATAATATTAGATTATGTGTAGAGCTAAAATATAAACCTAAGTAGTCCAACAATATAGCAGAAACAAAATGAAAATTAAATAGTCTAGAATGAGATACGAAATAAATACCACAATCAACAAGAAAAAACATTAACACATTTTAGCCATAAGCCCTCTTTAAAGAAGAGCTTAAAGTACTTTATCAAATAGCAACAAAAATTATATACACTGAGTGGTCACAA